CGGTGCGGCGCCGTGCGGTGTGNGCCCTGGCGCTCCTCGCGCTGCTCTGCGGCTGCTGNACCCCTCCGTCTGCGAGGCGACTGCGGCGGCAGGAGGCGGCGGCGCAAGCTGCTTTTCAGTTTGGTGGCGAGCCCCTCTCCGATGCTTTGAACCGCGCGAATTCCCCCGCTTCCCCGGGTGCCAACGGGGCCGTCGTGGGCCATCGGACTGCTGCGCCTGTGCTGCAGAATGACTCCCAGCGCCCTGAAAAAACGCTTTTTCATGCTGCTGCCACTCCCTGCTGTACGAAGAACTGTGACAATTGTGAAACTAAGAAAGTGTGTGTGCGTTGCCATCCGGGTGTCCCTGGCCGGCCTCCCACGGATGAAGAACCTCGTGAGGAGGATGAGAGTGAGGAGAATGAAAGCGCAAAACATTCACGTGAAGTGGTGAGTGCTGGCAGTACAACTCCTCATGGCGGCAGGAGTGATATTGTTGAATTCCAAAAGAAGCGAAATGCCTCAGCTTCCACCATTACTACTGGAGTTGCGGGTGGCCCAAAGGACCCGCCGGCGCCTTGTGCTACCGGACTGCCTTCCGCTCCCGAGGATGCCGCTTCGTGCCCACACGCCGGAGTTGGTGCCCCTCCTCGTTCCGGCAAAGAACAGCGCCCTACACCTTCTGGGCGTGTTGCGCAGCACAATCCCGGCGCCCCTGCCTTTTCCCACTTGAGCGGCGACGGTGCCGGTGTTGTTGGCGGTATCCCCGGCGCAGCTCCTGCGGGGCCAAATCTAACACCCCCGCTCCCGGACGCCGGACATCCGTCGCGTGAAGAGGCGGCGAGCAAAGAGGATGCGGGCAGGACGGCTGAGCGCGGGAGCAACGCGGATGCAGTCGAGCCAGGCGGTGCGCCGCACGCCGGTGGCCCCAACAACAGCGCAGACCGACGCGGTGAAAGCGGGGGCGCGCCTGCTGCCGCTGCAGGAACAGTTCCCTCGGCGCAAAAGAGCAACGTGGGTTCTGTTGGCAGCAGGGCGCCGACAGCGGAAGAGGCTGGGGCTGCGGCTCCCGTCTCTCAGGGGCAAAACAGTGTGTCGTCGGCGGAATCAGCCGCTCCCGCTGCTCCCGCGCAAAAGGGGAGCCGCACAGAGGCAACGGAAGCGGCAGGCGCTGCTGTTCACGGCGGTGCGGCAGGGCAGGGCCGGGGAGCTGGTGCGGCGGGAGACGCCCCTGCAGACGCCGCGGCAGCAAAGAGCGCGGCATCCGTCCCCGCCCACCACAAAAACAACAGCAACAGCAGCAGCAACAGCAGCGGGGGCGGTGGGAGTCTGCCGCAGAAGCGCAACGCCGAGGACGACGCTGTGCGTGGGTGCCGAGTGCTGCCGCTGCCGCTGCTTCTGCTGGGGCTGTGGGCGACGCCTCTTTTCTGAGCCTGGGAACACGGCAGCGAGGGACCGCATTTGCGTCCCCCCTCTTTAAGTTAATTGCTGATCTGCCGCGGATCGTCTTTGCCTCCCGGTCATGTGCGAGTTCTCCCGTTGGGTTGAACGCCGGGAACAATTGTTTTCTTTTTTCTTTTCTAAATACTTTTCTTTGCTTTGCTTTGCTTCGCCCACTCTCCCCACGGAGGGGCGGGCGCCACTCGCGGCTGCCGGCTGCTCCCGCCCAGAGACGCGCAGAGCGGACGGTTTTTCGTGCGCCGCGCAGAGGAGGCGGTGGGTGGGCGGGGCGACGGCACGCTGCGGTGCCCCCAATGAAAAAGTGAGCGCTGCGTGGGCATTGAGGCGGTCGTATTGGGGTGGAGCGAACATATATCTTTTGGGTTTACCTTTTTTTGTTTTTGTTTTCTGGGGGCGGAAATGCACGCGGCGCAGTGTTGGCGTGCGTGGCCAGCCGTATTTGTCTGCCTGCATCGTCTCCCGTTTTAATTGTTTTTGCTCTTCCGTAAGTCTTTTTTTCTGCTCGCTTTGCTTCTGCACGGCGATCGTGCGACTCACCGCGGGCTGGGCCGCGGCGCCGTGCCCGGTGTGGCTGCCGTGCTGCTTCCCTCCTGCCTCCTTCGCTGCGTGCGGGCGTGGCTGGCGATGTGCCGCCGCACGCTTCGCTCTTCTCCCTCTTTGCGTTGAGTGTATGCAGGCACACACACACGCACAACCGACGCGCACGCGATGCGCCTGTAGTGCCGTGCAGGTGGGTGGCGTTTCCGCAGCCTGCGCTGGCAGTGCCGTGTGCGGCTGCTGCTGCGGTTTCCTC